CATCCATGTTGTTGCAAATGGTGGGATTTGTTTCTTTCTTATGGCTGAAGAGTATTGCATTGTGTATATGTAACACCTCTTCTTTATCCATTCATCTAATGATGGACACAGGTTGCTTCCATATCTTGGCTATTGTAAATAGTGCTGGGATTAACATAGGGATGTATATGCCTTTTTGAATCTGACAAGTTGTTTTCTTTGGGTAAATTCCTAGGAGTGGAATTCCATGGTCAAATGGTATTTCAATGTTTATTTTTTTGAGGAACCTCCACATTGCTTTCCACAATGGTTGAACTAACTTACATCCCCACCAGCAGTGTAGCAGGGTTCCCCTTTCTCCACATCCTTGCCAGCATTTGTTGTTCCTAGTCTTTTCTATGTTGGCCATCCTAACTGGTGTAAGGTGATATCACACTGTGGCTTTAATTTGCATTTCCCTGATAATTAGTGATGTGTAGCATCTTTTCATGTGCCTGTTGGCTATTTGAATTTCTGCTCTGGAGAACTGCCTGCTCATATCCTCGGCCCATCTTTTAATCATGTTATTTGCTTTTTGGGTGTTGAGGCATGTGAGTTCTTTATATATTGTGGATGTTAACAACCCCTTATCAGATATGTCATTTACAAATATATTCTCCAGTAATGTAGGTGCCTTTTTGTTCTGCTGATGGTGTCCTTTGCTGTACAGAAGCTTTTTAGCTTGATGTAGTCTCATTTGTTTATTTTTGCTTTTGTTTCCCTTGCCCAAGGACATGCGTTCAGGAAAAAGTTGCTCATGTTTATATTCAAGAGATTTTTGCCTATGTTTGCTTCTAAGAATTTCATGGTTTCATGAATTACATTCAAGTCTTTGATCCGTTTTGAGTTTAGTTTTGTGTATGGGGTTAGACAATGATCCAGTTTCATTCCCTTACATGTAGCTGTCCAGTTTTGCCAACACCAGCTGTTGAATAGGCTGTCATTTCCCCATTGTATATCCATGGCTCCTTTGTTGTGTATTAATTGACCATATATGCTTGGGTTTATATCTGGGCTCTCTATTCTATTCCACTGATCTATGAGTCTGTTCTTGTGCCAATACCAAATTGTTTTGATTACTATGGCTTTGTAGCAGAGCTTTAAGTTAGGGAGTTTAATCCCTCCAGCTTTGTCTTTCCTTCTCAGGATTGCTTTGGCTGTTTGGGGTCTTTTGTGGTTCCATATGAATATTAGACCTATTTTTTCTAGTTCATTGAAGAATGCTGTTGGCATTTTGATAGGGATTGCACTGAATCTGTAGATTGCTTTAGGCAGGATGGCCACTTTTGACAATATTAATTCTTCCTACATCTGAATTTTATCTTCAGGGAAATTCAATCTTCACTCATTCTCCGACTTAGATATCTTTTCCTCTAAATAAAGGGGCACAATAATTCACAATCACAATATACGTTTATCATGGGGAGTGTTGAACCACTGTAATGTATACTGGAAACCAACAAAAGATTATATATTAATGGTACTTTAATAATAATAAAATAATGGAGAAATTTAAATAAATAAATAAAGCTGGCTTGAAGGCTAAAGGAAGAGGCTTTTATTCCTTTATGTGTAGATTCGATTCCAGTACAGAAATTGTCATCTGAGTATTTGTTTATGAGTTCTTCCCTCTTTCTAGTCAAGTTTAGATATGGTAACATTTTGGGGTCCATTGAGGTTTTTATAGAACTGAAGGTATCTAATTTTATCCCATGTTTCATTTATGTTATAGAGAGGCTACAGCTTGGCCAATCCCCACTGAGACATCCATCACCCCCATTGTCCCTCAAACTGACTTCATCATCCTAATCACATGAAAGGTGACAGAGCTGGGACAGAGAATTCCTTTATCCTCACATAAATCTTCATATGTGACTTTCTGTCAGATACCGGTGTACACCTGAATGTGGCCTTCTGGCTATATGTCCTACTTGCAATGACCATCTGTTCCATTTTTCCCCTTCTTAAGTGAGGTGGATGAACACATAAAGAAATGTAAGTATCAGTTTGAAGCCTAAAAAATGCCTATACTGAAGGAGGGGAATGGATTCACTGAAATGTAAATACTTGAAAATACATTCCTTAGTAAGTGATCTGAGCAAACAATTCCTCTTCTCTGGGATTAAAACCTTTCAATGACCCTGGCTAACAGTTCTCAGAAATCATACTTTGATGTATGATAGAAATACCTGAGGTACAGAGGTCAGGGCTGGGCTGGGAATTCCATTCCTGGTAAATATGTGGAGTCAAAGGAAGTATTTGGGGCCCTGACTAAGCTTAGGTTAACATCAGGGCATGGAAACCCAACAGAACTTGGGGATCTGTGAGAGTTCCCAGACACTTGTTTCTGACTCAGGGAACTTTGTCTTAGTCTTGCTCAGATACAGATATTCCCTGTGTAACATTATGTATAAGGATAAAGGTGCTAAGACTATAAAGATGGGCCATCTTGGAAGGCAGGTGAGTATTCTTTGCCTTGCATGTCTGGGATTTTTTCTGCCCTTAGTCTGGTGCTCTAGTCTGTTCCAATCCATGCAATAGATAGTTGGGGACATCTTGCACAAATGAGGGCTCAGTGAGGAAGGCCCCTCTGTTCTGCATATAACCTCCCTGTCCTCTCAGCTAAGCCCTACACCTCTGAGCCTTTTCTCTGGGGAGAACATTTATTAAGTTGAATTTTCATTCTGAGCTCTCATTAACTCCCATGGATAGAAACATTTCTCCTTTATGTTGATTATGTGATGTTTCTCTTTCTATTAAAGGTTCCTTTCAACTGATTCAGTGTTGAATTTCCATGTTACATGGTAGAGAGTGAAAGGAAAGGTGTTTTGAATCTTTTTACAACAGAGGATATACACTTGATTTTAAAATAGGAATGAGGATAAAAGGATTGTGTCATCTGTAGAGTGAGACTTTCAGAGAAACATTGAAAATCCAGTTTCGTGGAGACCATTTGTTGATCTTAACTCCTATAGGCTGTGTATGTGAGGAGACATGCCCCATCAGCTCCTCCCTCCTTTGTGCTGTTCTATGACTGCTCATGATGTCACAGAGAGAGAACACACTGGATTCCTGGGTTCTGTGTTCACCATATCACTCCCCAATATGAACATTATGTACAGTGTTTTACAGACTCACTGACCAGCACGCCCTCACACAAAATTGAAATGCCTGTATGTTAAAGGTTGTTGTGTTGCTTTAAGGTAGGTAAAACAGGTGGAAAATAAATTTTGGCTGAATAAATATTTGGATGTGAGAAATTTTTTGCTTATTCAGTCAAGGGAAGAATGGTAACATATATTTGCATTTGTCCCATCCCCAACATAACCAAGGTATAAAATGGTTTTAATTGTAAACAACCAGAATGTCTAACCCAACCCTGCCATTAAATGATGAGGATATATAATTTATAATGCAAGTATATAATTAATTTCTGCAGTTGGAATTGTTAAGTGAATTGCCCCAAATTTCACATGAAGTCACTGCAACTCTCAGTCATTTGTGCAAATGTCTCCACTTCTTCAATTCATGACCCTTGCTTGCCCTGAGAGCCCAAGGTCAGAGCTACAGTTCCCCGGGTGGTGGCTTTGTGTGAAACCTTTCCTAGGGCAGCCATGAGTGCGGGGTGCCTCCCTCATGGAGGGATAGACAGACACAGGCTTATTATCTCGGGCTTCTTCTAGGTGACCAAGGAGAAGTGTGGTTAGGACAGCTGGCATTTCCTCAGAAAGGGTATCTGAGTGGGCTGCTGTGTCTCTCATACATCAGCTTGGCCCTTTCTAAAGCATTTCTGCCATTTCTGTGTCTACACGGGGGTTGGGTATGTCTTGGGTTCTGTGGTTCTCCCGCCTGCCCGCCCTGGTTCTCGGACTGATGCAGGCAGGGCACTGCTGTGGCCATAGTTCTCAAGTTTGAACACTAGTTCCTCAGAGGGTCATGTTTCGTGTGTGTGTGTGTGTATGCTGACTCTGGGTGCAGTGAAGTCTGGAGAATCAATTTAGATGCTAAAATATTGGTATGCTTGTGGTATGTTGGACTTATGGGGATCATGGACTCCCGTCATTTAGATTGACTTTCCTGATAAATACATGGTTTCAATGAGTTAGATATCAGATGTGAGGAGAGAATTATTGCAAATTTTATTGTAGATATGTAGAGTTACAGCTAGAAGGAACCACAGAAAATACAAGCCCTAATCTTTCCAATTACAGATTAGAAAACTCTCTTTTCCTCTGAGCTGTGTGGGTAAGATGAGAGTTGCTGGGTTTTGGGACTTTTAATCTTGGAGCTCAAGTAATCAACCATATTTGGGATAAATTAATAAGGTCAGGATTATCCACCTGGAAATTTTGGCAAATAAGACAGGACCACAGAGGAAGACAATGGCTATCATTCAGGAATGAGGGATCTGGAGGGGTGTTTTCCTACCTTCCACTCCCTGAGAAATTTATTCTATTACATTTTGCAAAGAAAATGTTCTAGTCTTCACTTTCCTGTCCTTGCTGATTATGTAGACAGGGAAATAGTTCTTTATAGGTTGTTATCTGGCAATAATCTTCTGTGATAAGTAGTTACCAGACTGTGGCCTGTGAGCCACATGATTCTGTCCTAATATAAATGTTCTGACATACTTGCTGATGCTCTGGAATATTTGCAACCCAAGTTTTTACAGTGTTTTCTGCCTAATAAGTGTACTTCATTTTGCTGCATTAAGTGATGGCCTGTAAGTGCTCTTTCTGTTTCAGGCTGCCCTCTTCAGTTCCCTGGAAGAGAAGCTCTGAGAAGGGAGGAAGGTGGGATGAGAGAAGATCACTCATTCACCATGAAGGGGGCAGGACGGCAAACCCAGGAAGTCTGCCCAGAGTGGCTGAACCTATGCGAAATCCCTCATGACATCATGTCTTAGAGGGGAGAGCATTTCTGAGACCCTCATTATCTGTTGATACTGAAATGAAGTTAATAATAAATACTTCGATACTCACAGAAAAATGCTGTGTTATAAGGCATTCTTTCCTGAACTTCTTTCCTCATTCATCCACTTTCTTTAGTGAATCAAAATCCCAAGCATGCTTCGGTTGCCCAGGTGAAGCCTTAGGTAAGTGACTTGTGCTCTCTTTCCTCAAGGCAGTATGTGGTTCCACTCCCACAGACGAAGAGATGCTCATGCTTCATGGCTTTCATCAGAATAGGCGGGCACTGAGTCCAGGACCACTGTGAGCTCTTTCTTGCTCTCTGTCCAGAATGATTTCACAGCTAAATCACCTCAGCATTCTAAAGTGTTTTGTCTAGATCACATCATTTCTTGTAAAACTGTCGTGCTTCTCCCCCATCCTACCCTGGAATGTGGGTTCCTGGATGGATGTGTTGGGAAGGAATTGCTAAAGATTTCCTTTTTTCTGCCCTAGTTTCATGCACCACCCCCACCAAATTACTCTTCTACTACCAAGTTAACTAATTTTCATCTCTCTTCCACATCAGCAAACAAATCCTCATCATATTCACCTACCTCATGCACTTATTTACCAAGCCCTATGGGTCTTTGCTTTTCCCCTGTCTACCTCTCTTAACCACATGATATTTTGTAGTCCTGAAGTATTTTACTGTTTGCCTGTATAATTATAATTGCTTAACAAAATCCGTTTATTGTCCCTGTTCCTTACCATGCTCCACATTTCATCATATTTACTTTAAACATAATGTTTCAGCTTGTTCCTTCTTTGTATAAAAGTCTCCGTTGGCTCTCCATAAACTTACATTGTGGCATTCAATGGATCAACTTTCATAGGAAAAGAATGAAGATTCCCTGGTATCATCTCTATAATTTTGATCCAATTGATGTGGGGCAAAACCCAAGAACATGCATTTTAAGGAGCACATGTGACAAGGACTCTTGGCTGTCTCCCCAAATCTGTGCTGCTCTTCCTCCTGAGCACATGGCTCTGAAGTAAGAGGCTGTGTTTCTTAATTTCCTCTGCAGCAAGTAATAGCTGTTTGACTTAACCAGAGAAATGATCCTGCTAAATCCATGTCATTGGCTAAGAGGAAAATGCTTTCTCTGCTCTTGAGCTGGAAATGGAGCCAAATGAGGTTACCTTAGCCCTGCTTGCAGTAAGGAAAGCTGCTTCCTTAGCCAGGATTCTTGGATTAGTTTGTAGAGCAGAGACCACCTCTTGTTCCTGCACACTTCCCTTAGTGAGAATTAATGTCTTTGTTCATTAACCAACCATATTTTTTTTTTGCCTCTTTATTAGTTACTTGACTTCTATTATAACTGGCATACCACTTGGTGGTCAGTATGTCACAAGAATGGTTGACTCAGAGTTAAAAACACCACGGTTCTTAGCATACAAGGACTGCCACAATCTGACTCAGTTTACCTAACATGTAGTTTAGGCACCAGCCCAGACATATTTACTGTTATTTGAGCACTTTAGTCCTTTCCTCAACCTCATACATGTGTTCGTCATTCCTTTCCCTGGTTGATCTTCTCTATAAATGTCCTGTCCCTCTCCTCCTTCTCAGACCCCCCTTTTTCATCTAATAGGTAGTTTTAGAATGTATAATGCTCAACAACAAAATAACTTTGTTATTCACTTATGTAACAGTCTTACTTGGTGCTGCTGATCAGTGGGACTTCATTGCATCCTGTGAATCCTCCTCTGTTAGGGTGTGTCAGTCATTTGTAACCACTCTGTGGAAGGGGAACAAGCGTGGGCAATGCATGGAAGAGGCCCATATCGTATCTGTTCACATTCCATGGCTGAGACCCAGTCACATAATCATACCTTATTGTAATGAAGGCTGAGGAATATAGCTAATGTATGTACACAGCTAAAATCATATTACTTAGGAGGGAAATTACCTACAAGAATGTATGTGGACAGAAGTAGGTTTCTTGGTCATGTGTCTATATTCCATTCTAAAAATTAATGCTTCACCCTAGTGTTAGAACATAACATGATACTTAGTATATTGTGTTATTATGTCAGACTGCATGGGTTTGAATGTAACCTCTCTATGTATAAGCTTTGTGACCTTAGCAACTTATCTTTCTGAGCCTCAGTTGCTGTTTTATTAACTGAAAAATGAGAATTATAATACTACCTCCCTCACAGAGTTACTGGGCTTTAACGTGCAGTAAAATACACAAAGTACTTGGGGGGTGTGACAAACAGTAAGTTGGTGGACTAGGAGTTTTCTGTTCTATTTCCCCAAAGAACTCCAATTTTGACAATTACCCATAAGTGAGAGTGTCTGTGGAAATCTGGGGGTCCGGCAGACAGGCTCTAGCATATTGCTAGAGCAAAAAACAAATAACAATAACAAAAACCCCAAGGTTGGTCACATTGAAAAGGGAAAGAGGAGCAGGTTCACATCACCTGCATCACCTGTTCTCCCCAGGTGGTACAGCTCAGTGTCAAGTGGGACCCTCTTGGCCCATGATTTTTCCCACAGGGGAATCTGAGAGGGTGGGAGTGAGTGCCCAGCTTCTCCACCTGTGCAGGATGCTGCCAAAGAGGACCACTTCTGTCTTACCCCATCCAGATTACTGAGGCATGCCGCACAGCTGAGTGAATCAAAAGTGTGTGGATCCTACTAATCCCTTCATGGACTCTATCAGAAAGCCTGTGAGCTGCAGGGGATGCCTCACCTGTGGATCCCTCCAGCTGACCCACGGGCACACTGAGTACTCTGTGCACTTCATCCACATACACCCACAAACTAAAAAACAAGGCATGATAGAAACAGGAAAGTTTCATCGATATTGTTGAAGAAAAACAACAGCAATCAATGGAAACTATCTCTGAGTGGTCATGATGCTGGACTGAGGAGACCAGGACCTCAAAGCAACTGCTCTGGATAAGTTTGAAGAACTAAAGAAAACTGTGTTTATAGAATTAAAGGAAAGTATGATGACAATGACTCAACAAATAAGTGATAGACTCAAAAATAAGTAAGTAGAAATTCCGGAATTGAAATATACAATAACTGTAATGATAAATCTATTAAAGTGGCTTGATAGCAGATTTGAAAGTGTGGGAGAAATAATCAGTAAACTTGAACACAGATCAGTAGAAACTACCCAGTCTTAAGAACATAGGTAAAAAAAGATTTCAGAAAAATGAACACAGCCTGCATGTAACCCCACACGCAATGGGAGGCATAGAAAGAGAAGAGAGAAAAAAAGCAAAAAATATTTGAAGAAATAATGACTGAACTCCCCAAATTTGATGAAAAACATTAATTTAGAAACCCAAGAACTTCAATGAATCCCAAAGAGGACAAATATAAAGAAATTCTAACATAGATACATCACAATCAAACTGCTGAAAAGCAAAGAAAATCTTAAAAACAGCAAGACAAAAATGACTCACCCAAGTATAAGAGCACAATATGATTGATGCTAGACTTAATGAAATTCTGTGAAAAATAATGTAATAAGAATGAAGAATATTTATTTTACATAGATGAACAATATACATTCACTTTTATTCAAGAGAGAAACCAGATAGCCAAAAGATTGACAGAAATTCTAAAATGTTAACAAGTTATTCCAGAATGGTAGAATTAGAGTATTTATTTTTGTCCTTTTAATATTTTCCATATTCCTTATACAACATTTACTTTCTAACTTACAAAAACCCTAAAGTTTCCTTCCATAGAAATAGGGATATTTCTGCATTTTATATAGGAACCCATAATACTTTTACTGAAGGACAAATATTAAACAAATTTAATTGGTCAGGGTTAAATTTTAATATTTAAACTCTGTACTACATTTTCCTTATATTTGCTGCAAACATAATGCATGGCAAGGCCCTGGAATTCCCTGCAAGTCCAAGATCTTGCTCTTGTTTGAGAAGAAACTTTCAAAATAAACTTCTCTTTGAATTAGGCATATTATTCTTTCTGATCAGATTTATGCATCAAAATGTCCTGATTTACAGAATCCCCAACTCCCTGAGAACAGAAACCTGAAGTGAGCAAAAGCTGTTTGGGTCTTAAGAATTTAGAAATTTCCTTTATCATAACCTGGTCCTCCTTTTCTATTTTTACACGGCTTATAAGAACTTACAAAAGCCTATTGCTTTTTCCAAAATTATTTTACTTTTGAGATAAGTATTTATTACTGGAATGTATTTGTTCTAATTCATATGGGAACAATAATGTACTCAGAATCTAAGGAAGCTAAGCCAGGAGCAAGGACAACTGAGTAAAGCTATCGTGAGTACATTTACGAGGATAAAAATAAAGATAACTATTCTGACATTGTTTTGAAAGTGATGCTTTCCACATTCAAACCTATGGAATTAAACATTTGAACCATAAGAACAGCCGTTAGTCACCCTCAAATAATGTTTTTCATTGTTTAGTTTATTACAGTAAGAGGCTTGTCTTTTTCAGTTCCGGCTGCTATAATAGAATACAGACCAGTGAGCTTATAAACACAAATTTATTTCTCACAGCTCTGGAGGCTGGGAGTCCGAGATCGTGGTGCTTGTGTGGTTGTTGGTTGTAGACTGCCAACTTCTGGTATCCTCACATGGTGAAAAGAGATTAAGAACACTTTCTGGGGTCCCTTTTCATTAGGACACAAATTCCTAATTAATTCCCAGAGGAAGGACTTATTTCCCAAAGGCCCTACCTTCAAATGCCATCACATTGGGAGTTAAGATTTCAATATAAGAATGGGGGAAGGAGGCACAACACTGAGTACATAACAGTAATACACCTAATTTAACTTTTATTATCACCAGTCTGTATCAATTTAGCTGTTCTTTTATTCATCAGGAAGCACTGTTTGGCCCAGCTTTCCATAGGGTGAGTTGACTTCTTCACTCACTTAAAAGCTGCTCTCTCTTTCAAAGACACTTGGAAGCTTGTCTGAAATTATGAAACAAGAGGCAATAAGTTCCTATTCTTTTAAATAAAGTTGTTTATATGTATGGAGATAAACAGGCACACACACAGAGACTCAGGAAGAATTAATTAGGATAAATTTAGCTGGTGTTACATCCTGACATTTCTTTCGATACCCAGATCTTGGGCTATTTTCCTATTGCCCCATAGTTAATCTAGTTAATCTGAGTCTCTGAATGTAGTAACATAATTTATTTGTCAAAAAAAAAAAAGGGTGCAAAATAACATCAAAATGGAAGAAGGTAAAACTGTATGTCGTTTTGCTTTTGAAATGTTTCTGGAAATTAATATTGGAAAGTCTTTAGTTTGGACTCAATCAACTCATAATTTATGCTTCATGAGGTTTAGATGGGGAAAAGGTGCCCTTGATATCATATAATAATAGACTTATCAAGTGTTATGGGCTGAATTATGTCCCCCAAAATTTGTAAGTTAAAGTCCTACTCCCCAATACCTTAGATGCAACTGCATTCGGAGACACAGTCCTTAAAGAGATAATTAGGTAAAATGAGGTCAATTAGATGAGCCCTAATCCAATATGGCTGGTGTCCTTGTAAGAAGGGAACATTAGGACGCAGACAGCTCAAAAACCCAGGGGTGAGCATGTGAGGACACAGAGAAATGGCCACCTGCAAGCCAAGGAAAGAGGCTTCAGAATAAAACAAACTTGCTGATGCTATGATCTTGGATTTTTAGCCTACAAAACGGTGAGACAGTGAATTTCTGTTGCTTAAGCCACTCTGTCTGTGGTACTTCACTATGGCAACCTTGCAAACTAATATACTAAACACAATAAAAAACCAAACAGAATTGCTAAGGGAAAATGTTTTCTAATATGAAAACTTAATTTCAAGTATTTCAAAACAACACTTGAGGTATCTATTTGTAAAGAATAATTGCTAATATGAATTACTGCTTATTAAAATTTGTTTAGAATAATCGAAACTCAATCCTTTATTCTTTACACCACATAGATGAAACATCATAAGATACCCTTTAAAAAAATACATTTTAGTTTAAGTTTCACTGAATTTTCAATGTAGAGAAATTAATATCATTATCAACAACTAAGGAACAGCGTATGAAGAGGAAGGAGTTTCCAATCATAAGTACAAATACATTCTGGTGTTACTTAGTACTGTCACTGCTAAATTATGTTGGGGCTAGTTTCCATCTAAATGGTTTTCATCTGCTTTGCCTCAGATTTTTCTAATATTTTTCTCATTTTGGTAATTTAATATATTTTGGGGAATAAAAAGGTAAACTCAAGCTCATTCACTCAGCTCCTTCGGCCAAATTTGAAACAGTTATGTGCTAATGATGCCTAAATATTCTATAAAAAAATGAGGAGTTAGGACATATGTCAGCACCCTGGCATTTATTCCCATAAAAATATCCAGCATTGGCTCTTTCCAGAATTGCTAGTTCATCCATGCTAGGAATTAGAAAGCTTTTTCAATGCTGTTTATAAAGTATTGTGTTTTCTAGTCCTGCGACATCATCAAGTTCAGTTTCTCTCTCCACTATGCCTGGACACCCACTCTACTCTGGCTGCAAGCAATGAATAAACAGGTCTTGTTCAACCTTGGGATCCCTTGACACTTTAACAAAAAGCACCAGCAAGCTGTAATTCTAATAAGCAGTGATCTTAGAACTTGAAGGAAAGCATTGCTCTTTTTACGTCAGACTTCCTAGTTGACTTTGACTTTTTTCTCTTTGCTCTGGCACTGGTCGGTGTTTTAGAATTGCCCTTCAAATACATGTAGGCAGCATCATCATATAATAAGTGCTTGTTTTTCTTTATCTCTAATGCATGATTCCACTGTTGGTTATACGAATGTTTTCTCACCAGACGAAGCCACCTAATATTGAACACCTGTCATGTGCTAGTAGGCACTGAAGATAAACAATAAATAGCAGTATTAATGCATGAATCTGGGCTGTACTTAAGAGAATTAATGTGAACATCCATCAAGAAAAAAAGTCTTCATTACCTGTATTTGATCTTTGTAGGAGAAGGCAGGTCTCTACTTGAATGCTGCTTTGAGAGTTGGCTCAAATCACCTTCTCCTTTTCCTCTTCCGCCTCTTGCAGCTTCAAAAGTTGGCCTAGCTGCTGTCATCATCTTTTACACTTTGAAGAAAAATAGTATCAAGTTATTCCCAATATCATAAACTTTTATTATATAAAGTATTGACAAATATCCAACTTGTGAAATCATTTCCAAAAGTCGTTCTCCAAATTTTACTTTCATCTCAAACAAAGCTCTCAAGAAAACAAATAATGAGTCTCAGGAATACAGCTTCTTAAGCAGTTCTTAATTAGTGCAAACAATTCTGTCATGAAGATGAGCTTGTTTCTTGTTCTCCTTCTGGCTCTGTGGCCCTGGGCAAGTTACCTAATGTAAGTTCCTGTGGAATGGGGATATTCCTAAAGGGATTACTATAAGAGTTATTAGACTTGACATATCAAAGCCTTGTAAATTCAGTATAGCTATGACTGAGTTTTAAAAATTCTCAACTCAACATTACTCCACGAGACTCCCTAAAGTTTGCACCTCATACAACAGAAAATAGGCTACAAAAACAAAAAAAAAATACTTTGAAAATCCCTGAACAAAGTTACTGTCTTGGAGAAAAACGTGCCAAATTTCAATCAGTTACATAGGCAAAATTCTCCAACAACTTTTTGTTGATGCCATTTTCTCCTACAGCAACCATTGTAATAAAAATCTTGTATTTTGCAGGTTATAATTTACTGAATGTCCAAAAGATAGGAACCTCACCCTAAATGATTCTGATAACCAAAAGTTTTCATGGTGCTTCTGGGTTTGAGCAGCCAAAAGTGTACCGCCCAGCAGATATGGCTCCCCAAACCCATCAAATGTTGGAAAAGCAAGTGTGTGGGGAAGCTGGGAGAACTGGTTTACTTCTCCAGATTTTCAGGACAGGGAAGGGGATGCATCCAGAGAGGGAGACACAGGGTTTTCTGCACCGGGGACACCACTGCCCCCCACCTCCCCCCCCACCGGCGAATAAACATCACTCCCGCCTGGGGGCAGGGAGCCTTCGGGCTGTCCTCGGGGGTCGCCGACTCCTCACCAAGGCCCGACCCGCTGTGGGACGAGGCCGGTGAATCCCGCTTAGCCCCGCGCACAGGTGCCTTCCCGCGGCGCTCGAGCATCCTTCGCCGCCGACCCCGAACCCACAGCCCTTTCCGCCCCCCACGCAGACACCGTGACGACTCGCAACTCCCAGAAACCTCTGCGCCAAAGCCGAAGACCCGGAAGCAAACTCGGTCTCTTCGAACGCACGTCATAAGCGGAATCCGCAGAAACCAAGCTGTACGTTGGCATGACGACGGCGGAGGCCCGAACCTAAGCGTGCGACTGGGCGGGAGTTTGAAACCAGTGCTTCAGAGTAGACAGACTGTAAGCACGGTTTCATACCTTAGAGGACCAATTGCTTAATGTCTCTTCCGTCTTTTCCTTCCCCGATCCCCTCCTAGACTCTTCCGTGGACAGAAAGCTCCGGGTAGCCGACTTCACCTAGCGACAGCGAGCCTCCGGCTCCTGCTTCGTTTCTGCTGAGCTAGACCCAGCGGGCCTAGAGAGTTGGGCTACGGAAGAACTTGTATTTTCATTTAATCGGGATTTGAAGAAAGAATATACGGGGGCAGCCACGATCTTTATAAAGGTACCATTCCTGCAGAAATATTAGTCTTCAAAGCAAAGGTTATATTTATATTGTTGGTTAAAAGTTTTATTTTTAAAGAAGCCTGAGTTCTAGTGGGAGGGGAGGTGTCACTATTGGAGATTCTTTTATTAACGCGGCATGAAGCACCCAGAACGGTGGGCCCAACTGCCAGGACCAGGAAAGATTCCACTGTGCTGTCTACGCACGTCATAGGCGGAGGCAGCCACAATCCGCGGAAACCAAGCTGTACGTTGGCATGACGACGGCGGAGGCCGAGCCTAAGCGTTCGACTGGACGGGTGTTTGACACCAGTGCTTCAGAGTAGAGACTGTAAACACGGTTTCATACCTTAGAGGACCAATTGCTTAATGTCTCTTCCATCTTTTCCTTCCCCGACCCCCTCCTAGACTCTTCCGTGGACAGAAAGCTCCGGGTAGCCGACTCCACATCCCGGCCAGCGACAGAGAGCCACCGGCTCCTGCTTCGTTTCTGCTGAGCTAGATCCAGCGGGCCTAGAGAGTTGGGCTACGGAAGAACTAGTATTTTCATTTAATCGGATTTGAAGAAAGAATATACAGGGGCAGCCACGATCTTTATAAAGGTACCATTCCTGCAGAAATAGTAGTCTTCAAAGCAAAGGTTATATTTATATTGTTGGTTAAAAGTTTTATTTTTAAAGAAGCCTAAGTTCTAGTGGGAGGGGAGGTGTCACATTCTTTTATTAACGTGACATGGAGCACCCAGAACGGTGGGCCTAACTGCCAGGAGCAGGAAAGATTCCACTGTGCTGTCTTTGCTCTGCTGCCTGTGTGTCCCACGAGAACAGATCACCATCCTTCAAGTCTCAGCTCAGATGTCACCTCCATGAGTTTTTCCCTCATATCTACATTTTCACCTCCAACACAAAAATACCGTCGCATCACCCTTTATTATTTTTTCATAGTACTAAACAATCCTGAACTTAACTCTGTTCATTGTTTACTGCCATTTTACTTGTCTGAGAGGAAGCATAGCAGAGTCATTAAGAGAAAGAGCTCTACAGCCTGACTCTCTCAGTTTGAAATTACAGCTCTGCCCTCTGCTAGCTCTGTGACCTTAAGCAGGTTATTTTCCTTTTCTGTGCCCTGTTTCCTCATGTACAGAATGAAGATAATTCTAGTCTCTACCTTACAATGCTGTAAGAATTAAATGAATACTTACGAAGTGCTTAAAACTGTCTCAACAAACAATACTTGCTAAATGTCAGCTGTTATTAATATTTTATTATTATTGTCTATCTTCCTGTATTAGAACATAAGTTCCAGGAAAACAGGAACCTTGTCTCTTTGTTCACCTGTATCCTCCACATATAGAACAGTACGTGGCACATAATAGGTGCTGAGTAAGTATTTGTTGAATGAATGAATGAATGAATGATTGATGCACTATGAAGTGGAGAAATGAAGTAATAATGACAAGTTGCTGACACCATTACAGAAAATACCCTTGGTTTTTGTTCCAGTGGCCTTTATCAGCTCTGAATTAATGACCCTGATTCATTTAACATCTAGCCCACCACCTAATCTTTTGATAACCAACCATGATTAAATAACCACTCCTGTAATTTCAAAAACAGCAACATATCATCAGTCCACGAAATTTAAAGCTTTGACTTAATGGTCTGAAAGTATTAATAAAAAATAAGAATATTAAAGTGTTAATAAGTATTAAGTAAAATTTACGTAAGTGATTTTAAAGTACTAGTAAGAAAACCACAAAGATTTTTGCTTAAATATTTTGAAAGTATTAGAAAAAGAAACCAAAATTAAGTTTACTAAAAACTTAAAATTCATACTATCAGCTGCCTTTGCTGGCAAAAATCTTATATAACCTCCCAAGAATGCTCATTTTAAACCCATTAATACAATAATCTATTTGAGCCCTTAATTCTCCTAATTCTCTTATACTCTTAATTTTTCATTCCCACTCTGCAGTATGATTTCCCACATTCCCCTTTGCTCAAGTCCACACCCCTCTTCCACCCACTTTTTCCTCCTGACCCTCTTTCCCCGGAGTCAATGATGCTCTGACTTCTCTGGGAAAAGAAGCTCTTCAACAAGGACTACTTATCTCCCCCAGGCAAACCTACCAAGCTGCCTCTGAGTTTGCCCAAACCCTCAGTTTTCCCTGTGTGGTGACCCCAAACCCTCTCCTCTGTTCTCTGGGTTCCAAGTTCTCTGGCTTTCCTAGTAACTGGCATCCTGCTGTATTTCCTGTCTTTCATTGTCTGTGAATCCATTCCCTTCAGATCATTCTTACAGCTTTTGTATATGCTGTAGTATATCTTAGCCTTAAAAAATGCTCCTTCAAAAAGAAAAAGAAGAAAAAAAATGTAGCCTAAACATGCCTACAAGGGAAGCTTCACAAAAGAGAATGAATAAATCATTAGGCAACTGTCAAAAAAAAATGCCCCTTTATTTTAATATGACACCGTTACTATTTTAATCAATGTAAAAAGGATATTTTATATAATAGCTGTGATTACAAAACTGAATATTCTTATGGCAGGATGTAGGAATTCCAGCTTCAACACTTATACAAACACTGTGTCCAGTAGAATTAAACATCCAAAAGAAAAACTATAAAAATTTAAAAAGGAAATTTAAGGGACTATTTGTACAACCTAGGGTTTGTAAAGACCTTTCGATCAAGATAAGACACCTAAGAGCATAAAAGAAAGAATTTAAAACTTTTATCTTTATAAAAATTTAATTTTATGGCAGAAGATGCCCCAAATTAAGTCAAAAGATAAATATTAAATCAGCAGGTAAATGCTGTTATGCCTATAACATAAAACTTTACTACTACTAGTACTATTACTAATAATAAATACAACCCAGTAAAAAAATAGGCAAAGAATATAAAGAAGCCATCCAGAAACAGCAATTCCAAATAGACAACAAACATAAAAGACACTCAACTTCCCTATTATGAAAATGGAAGTAAACTAACAATGAATTACCACATTACAGCATCAAACTGGCAATAATTCTTTTAAATTAATACTATTACTGAATGGGATTGGGAGAAAAGGGGATAAAGTCAGACAGTGGGGAGACACTGGCTCCCCATTCCCCTTACAGTAAAAGTCAAAGGACTCACACTAACCTACAAAAGACTCTCCCCTGTCTAGTTGACCTCCTGTGTTGCTTGTGCCTCTCTCTTGGTGTTGTCTGAACACAGCTTGTGTCGTAGGGCCTTTGCACTAGCCATTTCCTCAGCCAAGAATACTCTTACTTATCTTACTCAAATCTTTGTTCAAATCAGGTCAACCAACCATGACAGCCCTATTTAAAGTTTCGGCCATTGGTCCCCAACCTCCTGCACTCCTTATCTCCCTTAACCTGTTCTACTTTTCTTTTTTGTGTAGCACATATCATGCATGATCCTGTATAGTATATGATCCTTATTCAAACCTATATAAATTTGTTTTATTATTTCTTTCTCTGTCCCATACAGAATATAACTTCTACAAATGCAAGAATCTTTGTACTGCCCAGTGATGTAAGCCAAGCATCTGAGACAGTGCCTGGAACCAATAGGTGCCCATAATGATTTTAAAATGAGTGAATAAGTGAATGAGTTTTAACAGGAAAATGTCATTTTTAGGTAAAAAGTTATTGTCTTAATCTTTTTTATATTTTAAAGAAAAAAAATAATTAACATCCTCCTGGTCCGAAATTCAGATTTGCAGTGAAGATATGCCAAGACACAGAAAGATGATTTCTTTTCAGGAAAGATTCTCTAAATGAAAATAATGTGATTATTAGGCTCTATACATACTATCAAAATTCTAATTTGGCCAGCCCCACCCTGAATCCAGTCACAACTCTAATTTAATCCACTTCCCTCCTCTTCTAATTGAATCACTTTCTCCAATTCTGGTAAACCCTTTCATTACAAAGTTACCAGCCCACAAAATGTGAACATTTTGCTTGAGGCTTTTAGTAAGAAAATGGAGGGAAAAAACTCAATGCCCACAAGTTAGAAATTACACTTAAAGGAATATAAATGATAGCATCTGTTCTATTTTTAACCTAAAAATGATTAACTTTCTAATATAAAAAGCTGGTGCTTTAATCTATTTTAATAAGTGAAAATGATAGAAAAATAAAGTAGCTTGCCTTCTACCAACAAATCCTGATTTAATTCAAGATAATTTGGGACCCAGAGAGATGATTTCCTGGGAACAGCCTCAAAATGAAATTTGCTGATGGTCCAGGCTAGATTACTAGATAATTTTATAATTTAACTACCTCTTACCCAATCCAAGCACAAAGCTACCTATCACTTGCTGGCCACTCCATTATTACTAAGACAATTAAAAGCAAGCATATTAAAAAAAGTTAAAATGAAAGAATTAAAATATAGAAAATAAAGGGATAGAAAAAGATATACCAGGGAAATACTAAAACAAAAAACTTTGTGTAGCAAATTAATTATGAAAAGTATTCTTTGAGTAGCATTAACAAGGCCATTTGTGGATAATCTTACTGCATTCCAAAGAAAAATCTAGGAAAACATTAAATCATGAACATGTATGTAACTAACTGCATGGTCTGGAAAAATTTGAAGCAATAATAAAGAATTAAAAGGTAAAACAAATCTGTAAGGGTGGGAATTTTTTTTAATAGCAATCTCTCCCAGATTAAACAAATTAGCAACATTGATGCATTGTGCACATAGATACGTATGCTTACTGTATTTATATTTGCAAATATATTTATACATTGCATTTATATATGTATATAAAATCCTTCAACCAAGAGAAATACACATTCTTTTAAAAAAATGTTGGACATTCAGAAAATTAACTGTAAAGCCCCCAAATAAATTTCAATAAATGCCTATGTACTCATTTCTAAATGATATATAGTTTTCTAATTTTTGAACTTTATATAAATGTTCAAAATATTTATGTAAATGAATTGTATGCTTTCTTTTATGTTTTGCTTTTATATAGCTGTTGTATACTATATAGAATTTAATTGAGTAAAAATACACAGTATACTGGGCTGTTTATACTCTGCACCCTGATTCCCAACACCAAGCTACCCCCATGAGGACATCTGGGCCCAACAGCTTGGGAGGAAGAATGATTATTTATTAATTTAAAAAATTATTTCCAGTTTATTTCATAGTTGTTACTTTTTTCAATGATGTCAATTAAAATATTTCAAAATTAGCTTCCATTTAATATCATATATTTTCTTAAAATACAATGTTACTGTATGTTTTTTCTTATTCCTGCTTTATCACTTATTCCTACCCTCTTGACTAGGTTTGCTTTTGCAGGGGTCTATCTTTTTGGACCTATTTACCATTAAGCTTTTACAAATACTAACCAATTCATTAATTTCTAATCTTAATGTCACTTATTCCTTCCACCAGTTTTTCTTATATTACTTGTTCTTCTAATTCTACAATAAAGTGCTCAATTAAAACAAAATACACAGTATAATTTATTCTAATAATTATGTTTCCAGTATGGTGATATTACAAATAATGCCACTATGTACATTTTTGTAAACGTGTAGAGGTGCACGGGTATACATTTCATTTATATATCCCATCAGTGGGTTGAGTTCTTGTTCTGTAATCTCACCACACTTGATATTGTCCAACCTTTCAATTCTAGGTAATCTGGTGGGTTTATAGTGATACCTTATGGAGGTCTTAATTTGCTTTTCCTTCATTGCTAATCACTTTATTTCTGTTTATTGTTCACTTGAATTTCTTCTTTTGTGGGATATCTGTTTAAGTCTTTCTACTGAATTATCTCCTTTTTAGATTTCTTTGAGTTCTTAATACTTTGGGTACCAGTTCTCTGTCACTTATTTGTGCTACATATATATTTACCACTTCTTTGCTTTTCTTTTTGGTATATTTTGATCTACAAAACCATTAATATTAGGGTAATTCAGTTTATCAGTCTTTTCTTTTTTGCTTAGTGCATGGTATTTCTTAAGAAATTCTTCCCTACTTTGAGGTTACATTGGTATTTTCAGATACTACCTTCTGAAGGGTTTATAGTCATGCCTTTCACAGGCCCATCAGAAATTCGTACTATGCGTGGTGTGATAGAGGCTCTTGGAATAATCCTGTGATGCAAGCCTGGCCTTGTCCCTCTCTTCTGAGTGCTGGGCTCTTCTTGGCCCTTTGTGCTTAAATATAAAATCTTAAATGTTACGCTCTACAAAATTACTTTTGGGATTTTGATTCGGATAACTGAATCTCAATTTAAGAACAAATTGATAGTTCTTCAATATTGAGTCTTCAAATCTATTAACAAGTTATGTCTTTCCATTTATTTAGGTCTTCTTTAATGGCTTCTAAATAAATTTATATTATTATTTCCATAGAAATCTTGTAGATTTTTGTTAGTCTTAGCCTTAGGTGCTGCTCGATTTTTAATGCTTTAATAAAGTGGCCTCTTTCTTAATTTGATTGTCCAATTGTTTGTTGCTAATATATGTAACTATAATTGTTTTTTATATATTGTATTTTAAATGCAGACCTTGCTAAACCCTCTTATTAATTAGAATAGTTAACTCATAACGATTTGTGATTTTTTATGTAAACAGTCATATCTATGAATAAGGATACCTTTCTCTCTCCTTCCCAGTCTTTTTCCCACTCCTTTTATTTCAGGCTCTCAATTCTATTCCATTCAACTGTGAGTGTCCAGGCTCCCTGCCCAGGGCCCGCTCACTGTCCTCCCTTGTGCCCACTGCTTCCTTCTCGGCATTCTGCCTTTCCCACCCTGCACTCATTAACCACTGGAGGCTGGGGCTCAGGACCCCCGTGGGTGCCTGCCCTGCTCCCTTGCAGTGCTTCGCACTCTCCTGTCACTTTGTCAGCCTCTAAGTGCTGGTGCAGGAAATAAAGGACCTGTGTGCTCTCTGAAAAAAAAAAAAAGGTCAAGTTCCCATCTTTGTCATGATTTAATCTGTGCTCTTCCAACTATGTCACAATTTAGTCTACGCTGTTCATGCCTGACACTTCCTGCCATGAGTCTTTATATCTACATTCCTGGATGTTCCTAAATAGAAAATCAACACCAAATATTGGACTTAGACGCACAAAGTATACAGAAAAAGTCACCTTTTTATCTTAACTTTTCCATGTAGCTTATCAAGAAGGGAATGTTGAAGCTTGTGAGGCAGAAACATGAAAATACCTTGGAGAAAAAAGCAAGCACATCTCGTGGAAGGAATTTATTACTTTAGATAAGTGCCCATTAGAGGTGAAAGGAATATTCTGGAGAGCTCCCATCTCAGCAACTTGTATTAAGCACCAAATAAATGGCCTAAGCAAATAGTACTCATGGAATGTGGAAGAAAGAATCCTCACCAAGGTCTAGGACTGGTAGGGAAAAGTCCCTCAGGTAGAACCTACATCAGGAAGGCAGAGGTAATAACTTAGAAAAGAGAAGTGAGGGAGAGAGAGCATCAAATCAAGACAATGGCTACGAGTATTTCCAGCCAAGGGTTTGTGGAAGGAGCTACTGAGAGATACATTTGGGAAAACAAAGAGTAAAAGATGGTGACACAATCATTTACTTTGCTCCCTCCAAACTCCACTGAAGTGACAGTACTAGGATTTTTAAGAAATGTCACAATGAGAGCATATGGTAAAGAAAATAAGATAGTAGTACATTTTGAAAATGGACAAATAGAAACCGATTTATCAAACCCTAGAAAGTTGAATCTTAAATTGGCAGTGAGAAAAGCTAAGAAGGAACACAACTGTGTCCACAGACTCCAAAAGGCTTAGGACTTCATGGCACTGGCTTCCTCTGGATGTGGAAGGAGGCTAAGGAAGATTTGATGAAAGTCCAAGAAGCAGTTGGAGCCTCAGACTCCCTCGCATTCTCTCATAGCAGGATAAACTGCTCCTCTCTCATCTTGATGGAAAACCAAGTTTCATTTCCTAGAGCAAGTGGAGAAGGTAGTCTCTGAACTGAGAATTTCCAGGAACCACAGGCAGTGTAGTTGTCATCGGGAAAACAAATTGATTTGGTGAGTTTCACAAGTTGGATATTGGAAATTTCAGGATCTTTTTCCATGTGGTGGGGAAGCCAGGCCTGTCCCTTCCAGGAAGACGACTGGAAGATCCTTCACTGTTGCATATGACAATCTCTTAGAGATGCCAGTGTGAGCGTTTCACCCAGGACACAGCCCAGCCAGATCACCATTCAGGGAAGCATCATCACCAAACCTATCCAAACACCCAGTTTTAAATCAGCTTCTTTTTGTGCTATACTCATATATGAACCAACTACTAAGGATCATCACACATTTGACGAAAGCCTTACAGGTGAAAGATAGAAAACAAAATGAAAAAAAAAATGTAAAAGAAATTTCAAAGAAACAGACCATGCAGGGGGAGAAAAACACTTCAAAGCCATTGACATTTTAGTATTTTCAGAGAAATTAAAGAAGTGCACCTGTGAAACAAGACCAGGACAATAAGACTGGGGGGGAAAAAGGGTGGGGGAAGGTACAAATACACAAAAAAAGCTAAGGGATCAGAAATGACCGGTTGGAAATTAAAATTTTGATAGGGGAAATGAAAAAGACACAATTGAAGGAGCTTAGGGAGGTAAAGATGAGGGCATTTTTCAAAAGAGAGAGTGTAGTGGTAAAGGGATAGAAAAGTGGGAGAAGAAAAGACACAAAAATTAAGGTCCAATCCATGAGGTCCAATATCCAAATAATAGGAGTTAATGTGCATAGGAAAAATGTAGAGGAAGTCATCAGAGAAGTAACTTAAAAAATGTCTTAAAACCAAAGCACCTGAATTTTGAGACTGAAAAAATTTAAGAACACTGGGACAGCAAAGAGCTTCTATAAA